TGATCACTTGACCCATATTACGTTACTTGCTCTTCGAGTGAATCAACAAATGGCGAAATGAAAAGCCGAACAACAATGTTGTTGTTTTTTAAAAGTCTTAGCTTACATGTGTGTTTATTTCGTATTTTCAGTTGTTACTCTCCACGGCTAAACAAACTAAATCGGTTTCAGTTATGTACTGATGTACACAACAATGGACATAAGGAGCTTCTTTCAAAGAAAAAATTCAGGTAGATGTTATTTTATATATTATGCTTTGTATGTTGTTCAGTATATTTCTATGCAAAACAAGAGGAACTTCAATACACAGCAGTATATTCACAGTTGAAACCAGATATTTACATACACTTTAGGGAAAAAAACATAAAAACTTTTTCTTTTTACTGTTAAACATCAATTTAGAGTAAACTTGTTTTGTTTTAGATAAATAAATGTTGAAATCTCTTTTGAATTAGTTAAATGGTAAATGGCCTGCATTTGTATAGCGCTTTTCTAGTCCATAGGACCCCAAAGCGCTTTACACTACATTCAGTCATTCACCCATTCACACACACATTCACACACTGGCGATAGCAAGCTACCACCGACCTTCTGATTAGTGGCTGACCTGCTCTGCCACCTGAGCTACAGCCACCCCTAAATGTCAGAATAAAAAGAGAGAGCTGTCTATTTTAATCACTTTCATCAAATTTAGGAGTACATATACACTAAGTGTATTGTTAATTAATGAGAAAACTTCAGAAGATTCCATTCCGAGCTTAAGAAGCTTCTGATAGGTTAGTAGAGTCCATGTGAGTAAATTGGTGGCGCACCTGTGGTCGCACATAAGACACCCCCAAAACACAGAGCCTGTTTCTTTGACATGGAAAAAATCAAGAGATATCAACCAAAACACCTGGAAAAGAACTGTGGAGCTCCATAAGTGTGGCTCAATTTTGAATACAATTTGGTGCCATTTGCAATTAAGAAATACAGATAGTTTCTTTCTTTACTCTTAAAGTTAACAAATATGTTTTTTTATATCTATCAATCTAAAAAAATAATCATTTAGTCTGATTTGATGTTACAATTAAAAAGTGTTTTTGTTTTTATCTGAAGAGTTTGTAAATATCTGGTTTCAACTGTATATTTGATGATGTTGGTGTTTGGCTTGATTGTCAGCACAAAGAGGGAGAGAGAGAAACAAAGAGAGAGAGAGAGGAGCAGAGATGGAACAAGAGCAGGTGAGACACACATGTTAGTCAAATGGTTGTTTGCCAAAACTCATCAGAACATGTATCTCGTACCTAGTGTTTCTTTTTAGATACCATTTGCTACTTTTCAAATTCTATATTTATTAAGTTGTGCAGGCTTGTTTGCACAACAAGGCTAAATAATTATATAAACTTTTCTGAATCTAAATAGTGGACTTTGGTAGAATTAAAAAATAAGGGTAGTGCAGGTCTATGATGATTTTTAGTGCTACTATGATCTAGTTCTGATTCTGGTTCTGGATCTTTGGTTAAGTCCTCAGTAGTCCTGATTTTGAACTGTTGTAGTCCTGTTTTAATTCCGAATCAGTTCTGGGTCTGATTGAATTGGGGTTTAGTCCTCATGTTTTGATACAACCCTGACTTTGTTCTTCTGCCTTGCTGCTTAATTAAAAACCTAGTTTAAGGTGTCCTGCATATGTGATATATATTTTTTTCCTATATGAAGTCATTCTTTTTTGAACAAAATTCAAAACAGAGCTTATTAATCTTTCAGTCATTTCTACCCTCACTTAATTTCCTTTCGCTGCTCAGCTCTCACACAGTGGCTCAGCTATGCTCCAATCCCTCCATATTGTGGCCAATTACATGCGAGGATATAGGATAATATCATTATGTGAAAAACAGAGAGGGTGAGAGACGCGACAGTCAAGTGGAGCGTGCATCTGTCCTCTCAGTAAGTGAGTGAGACAGTAGACAGCGGTGAGGAGGGCTGTGCGAAAGCAAAAACACATAAACGAAGCAGCATCTGGCTGCAGTTTAAAGACTTTTTTGTCTCGGTCTTGGTCTCGTCTCGACTTGGTCTTGTCTTTGTCTCGATACCCTCTGGTCTTGGTCTCGTCTCGACGGTCTCGTCTCGACTTGGTCTTGGTCTTGTCTTGGTCTCGGATTAGGCGGTCTTGACTACAAGTCTATCAGATACTGATGCTTCACGTTGACCCCTGCTGGATCTTCTCACCTCTAAGGGAACTTTGCCCTTCATCATCATCATAGTCATCATCAAACCATCTGTAACTCTCCTCACAGTGTTAATCGACTTCATTTACTGGAACGTGGATGGACAGTAGGTTTTTCCATGGGTCTTGGTAGGAACTTGACAGACCAAGTGAAACCGAACAGAGAAATGATTGATTCCACCTTCTGGTTTTGTATCGTGTTTTTATATTATCCATGAATTTTCTTCTCTCATTTGATTCATGGGTTGTCCTTTGCCTTAATGTTGAGTCTTTCCATGGCAGTTACAAAATCAAACGTGTAACTGCCACACTTTGGTAGAATTACTAGATGCTTCAAGTTGTTCGGTAACTGCCCTCTCACCCCTAGAACAACATCTCGCTTCCTGACAGTTTGCCATGATTCAGTGTTTTTACTTCCTTTTTAAGCTAGCCCTTTGTGCCAATTTTACAAGCATTCGACTTCTGTTTTTCCTCTCTTTGACATGTTATTTTGCTATTTTGGTGAGTTGTTGAATCTACTTTTATTGCCGCATGCTATTTTAAGAATCCTTTAAGGCTTTTCACTGCTTTTATTTGTAGTTCTTGTCTTATTCTGACCACAGAATTGCCCACTAGATGCTTTGGAGTTGACTTTGATTATTTGACTCCCACTGAAAATCAGGTCCCGAAAGCCAGTTTGAACAGAACAGCTGTGTAACAATGAGGCTTCTAGAGTTGTTTGATTAATATCGATCTAGTACCGCTGTGCTGCATCAGCTGATTCTCTGATTCTTTTGAGTCGATCGTTCTTTGATGACGTTTTCCAAAAACCTTACATAGTCCTTCTTGAATTTGAGATTTTCCTCTCGTTTCCCTTTTAGTTGCTTGAGCTACACAGAACCACCTGCTTATTTTCTGGTAGCTGAGTGCGTTTCATGAAGGGGAAGCGATTTTGTAGGTTTCTATTTGGTCAGCACTTGTATGCAGTGCATGTAATCCTGTCATATGCTCTTTTGCCACAAGATTTGTGTCACTGAAGTCTGACATCCAAGGTATTCTGACACAATAACACAATACATGTTAGAGCAACTGCAGGTGTTGATTCTGAAAATGAATTATGAGTTATGGCTGCAAACAAACAAAATAAAAAAATAAAAAACATTTTAAACCCACAAAATATGCAAATTTACAAAAAAAAGGCTGAAGATAGAAACTGTTAATTAGCCATGCTGATAATGTACCACTAAATTTAACACACAGTAGCATTATTCACATATGAGTTTATTAAGCGAGAGCATCTGTTCTAAAAACTCGACCTGTTATTTAAAAAAAAAATGGGGGGGGCAGCTAAGTAGTAATTGTGATGCACAACAGGATATGATAAAAGAAAGCATTGTATCATGTCGAGAGCAGCTGATCTATAGCATGTGATCATGGGAGAATTTTGGAAGATGGCTCATGTTAACCATTTTTACTTATCTGTCCTTCGCTATGATGTTGGTATTATAATCTTGTTTAAGCTGTTTTACAGCATAAATAAAGGAGGGGGGGTGAGCTTTAGCTTAACTTCAATCATACAGGTAAAGGTAATTAAAAAACGAGTAATGTTAAAGGAGAAAAAGTGAAAATAGGATCAAACGTAATAGTGGATACACCTGTGCTTTCTCGTTTGTTCAATTTGTGCGTCTTTTTTTGTCTCGTTTCTCCTCCACCGTCCCCCATTTGACCTAGAAATCAGTGTCATCTGAAGGGTCTCTCAATTTCTGAAATTATTCTGGAGTAAAGAGGACAGTGGAGACGTATCAGAGGATGTGTGTGTTATAGAGTCTAGAAAGTGTGGCACACAGCTGGAACATACAAGGAAGGAGAACTCCTCAAACAACTCCTCTGTACTCATATGTTGTTTCAGTTATTTGAAATGATCAAACTGTTTGCCCTCCATTGTTTACGTGTTCGAAAAAAAGGTAAGAAATCTCTTCATAATTAAAATTAACCCTAAATATCATGAGCACTGTTACACTGTACATCATAAAATGCAGCCGTGGGCAGGCTAAATGATTAATAAAGCAGCTGTGTCAACTATGATAACTTTATTATGCAACTGACAAAATGATTGCTCAGAGGGTTGGTTTGTCTACTCCTGTCTTCCTCGTGCCCGTGGGCGGGCGAAGAGACTCTGACTGTAAACTACACCCCAGCTGTCATGCACTTCTCCAAAGTCCTGAGTGCATTTTTTCCAGAGAATGTGTTCCATCGAGGTGAAGGGCAAGTAATTAGGGACGGAAATACTGTTTTGGACAGTAACGACGAAGATGACGCTCTCATTAGCGACATATTTGTTATTTTTACATCTCTGTAATTGGGCTATGGGGAACGTTGATCCTTCTCCGAGGATGATCTTCACAGAAAAAGGTAAAAAAAGGAAATGATTTTTCTTCATTTATGAGATATCAAATGCTAAAAAGTTAAAAGGGACTGGGAAGGGATTTTTATCAGCGCTTTAAAGTATGCAGTGAGGTGAATGAATATGTATTAAATGACTTGGTCGTTGTGATTCAGGAAAAAAACATCAAGTCTTTCTTTCAAACGTACAGTCCGTATTATGCAGTTCCATTATCGTCAGAGGAGGACAACATGGCCATGTTAACCACAAGGCGATGTGTTGGACAGAAGGCAGCTTTGTGCCTTACAATGTTTCTTTGTTTGTCTGTGGACAATTTTTTCAACAATGAGTAGTGGTTAGGACTCACTGGCAGGATGATGGTTTAGATTTAGATGTTGTTTTTTTCTTTTCTATTTTTCTATATTTACAAAAGAAATTAGGAATGATACGTATAAAGGCAAAGAGAGCTTTTACACACCCTCTTCTGGACAGAAATGGCTGTGAAGACTATGTTCTACACATTGTCCCTGTATCATAGTTCTTTAAGTTTTGACAATATTAACAAAACTCTACTTCACCCTCCAGTGCACGTCACTGACTTCGTTTAGCTAAACGCATTAGCATATTGTTATTTACAAAGTGGACAAACTGCTTATCTATGTAATTTCTTATCGTGCACAGACAGCTGCTTATGGTGGGTGCCCTTTTACACAACATCGTAACATTTACAAGACGCAGTCTCACTGGTTTTGTCTCCCTGATAGAGTTCAAAAGTTAAAGAGTTGAAGAATTCTGTGGAGTGCAATTTTTATTTCTAAAAAATGTTTTTGTTTGTTCTACTTTATTTTAGTCTATTTGCCGTTTATTATATTTCTGAAATCTTTTCATGACGTGCTTTCTTGGGCAGGTCTCCCACGATTTTAATGCTAAGGGACTCAATGATTAAATAAAGATTTCAAAAAAGTTTATCTGTATAACATTAACAGAACAACGTGATATTTTAGTAGAGTGTCAGTTAGATGAAGTTGTGACTTCATCTAACTGAAACTTTTTGCACTTGTTATTTTGTTTATGTAAGCAGTGGTAAACTCTTCTGACAATAGGTTTCCTGAGGATAGGTTTCATTTTCTCCCTTCAGCTAAGTTTTCAAAACAGCACCAACAATGCTACCAGAAACCTTTTTTTGAAGAAGTAACTGGACATGTAAAGTGTCACTTTCATATTGACAGTAGTGTGGGGAAAAAACTAGGCACAATAAGACAAGACACTGTAAGACACTGTAAGACAAGGCCAATGGTTTTTGGAGTTACAAAAAAGTGCAAGAGGGATGGCAGAAATAGGATCACCAAAGTGTTTGAGTTTCATTCTTAGGAGACCTGTACTAACATGCATCAAGCATTTCAAATATATGTATATACTGGGTACTAACAATGAAGTTCAATGCTAAACACTTATTCAACCTCTATACTCATGTCCCCCAAGCCTAGTATATTGTTGTGAAGTTTGGAGAGGATCCATAAAAACAATTGTGCGTAATATAAAGATTTTCACATTTGGTGTGATCTTGACCTGGTTTTCAACAAAATTTAATCAGCTCAAACTGTTATGGGTATGTGGATCTTGCACTACTAACAAACAGATAAATAAAATGAACTGATGACATACTCCTTGCCTTCCAGGGGCGAAAAATCATTCTTGTTGTTTATGATACTACATTATGGGTTTACCTGATGAATCTCATAATACATTCATACATTTTATCTTTCTTTTCTTGTTTTTGCTGGGTTTGTTTTTAGAAAAAGCAATGACACGGTTCAGTCTTCCCCATGACCCACCTGTACAGATTCTTTTAGAAGACCAATCAGACACTGTTTTAGCTGCTGGACAATCATACCTGAATACCTACAACTTTCAAAACCATAAGACGGTAGTAGAAATCTGTACAACCACAGTAAATGATTATACTGAGATCATTGAAATAATATTCATAATAATATCATGGGAAAGTAATAGTCCTGCATCATATATCTACATAGAGCCACAAGTTTATGCAGTGGGAGAAATGCAACAGCATAAGCAGTGAACATGTAAGTAAAACAAACAAATTTAGTTGGTTAGATTTGATTGTTTGACCACTGAAGAAATATAACAAACAATATTTGTCTTGTCTTTAAGGATTGCAGCTATAACATCACTTTGGTCCACCGGAAGAAAGATGCTAACCAGTTGTTTGTGTGTGGAACAGATGGCAATGAAAGGGTTTGCTGTAACACGGTAGGACACTGGCATCATTGTCATTGAGAACTGTTAACATCACCACAAATACCATGGTCACCACCCATCTTGAGGGGTTTGCCCCCTCACATGTACTAATGTGCCACAAACAGGACTTCAATATTACCAACCATTCCCATGTTTTTACGGTGTATCCATATAAATGGCCCACCCTGTACTGTTAGTGGTGCCTTTCACTGGGTTGAGTAGCCACTTGTACTTTTACATATTTAAATCAAAAATATTTTGGTTATGCAATGAAGAAAATAAATCACAGCACTTCCTGCTTACCCACATGTGGTTGTTTTAAAACTATATATATAGAAACTGAGTGTTGGGTATGCATGTATGCTACATGTGATGTGCATTGGGGACCATATATTAAGATGTGCTGTGCTTTTTTTATAGGATTTAACAGTGGAGGCCCCCATGTGCCTTCCCTCTGAAAATATCGCAGACTTAATAGAAAGTATAGAAAGATTTAACATAAAGGAGGGTGAACCATCAGTTTTTATAGGTGAGTTTTTCTACATGAGGATGCTCTATAATAAATCTCCTGATGAATCCCTGCTATTTCATTCATTTGTTTTCAATGATTGTGTAATTTGCAGAAAGTCTGTACTCTTGTCAAAACTACTAACATCCTTTAATCAACTCAATCCATTCTAAAGGTTGCTTCTTTTTCTTATTGCTATTATATTCAACTAGTTTCTCCCCATTTGCACATCCCTATAAAACCTTCATTTGCAACTGTTTTTTCCAGATTCTGAACAGAGTGCAGCTCTCTACATAACACACTCTGGATCTGATGAATCTGTTGGTATTCAGAAATTTGGTAAAGCAGGAGTGGGGCCAAAGAACCACGATAAAGGTATTTTCATAAAGTTAGAGCCGGAGAGACCTTATTTAGTGAAATCACATCACTCTAAATGTTTGGATTCAAATAAATATTTTGTCTTTCAATGTTTAGAGCAGCATTATGTAGGATTGGTGCTCAGCAAACGTGAAGAGGATCCCTCCCAGAACAGAGTTTATGGCTTCTATAGGGAGAAAAGCAAAGACAATGGACTGTTCCGTGAAATGTGGCTCCCCTTTGTGACCCGGGTTTGCATGGTAAGACCAAAATAGTTTGAAAATTTATATTAAGTGCCACCAACATTAAAAATTAAATAAACATAAATACATCATGACTGATTGACTGTCCATTGCTTCTAGGCAGATGTTGGTGGTCCCAAGAACAATTTGCAGTTTACCTGGACATCCCAGATGAATGCCAGGCTCTTCTGTGGAGATCGTAACAGAAAACAGCATTTCTCTGAACTGGTGGATGTTTCCACTGTGGATGCAGATCGATGGCAGGATAGAAAGATCTATGCACTCTTTAGAAATGAATGGTAGGACTCTGTTGATATTTATTTTGATGCTAATAATAATGATATAGTTATAATTTACTCTGTTTCTGTGACTAGCTATTTGTGTAATCGAATCATCTGCTTCCAAACTTCCAAACAATATCCTTTCATGGTGATAAAAGGACACTTTGTTCTTTTTAAGCCGTTCCCTACCAGTTTCTTATTTCTCATTCTGTGTGGTCAGCTGCTTTTTCAACTCTCTCTCTCTTTTTTTTTTTTAACCTTGGACCAGTCTACTCATTTTGCTGCAAATGTCTCAGACAAACCTACAATGTGTCTCCCTGCAGGGGGATGAGTGCTGTCTGCATCTACACAATAGGAGACATTGACAAAATCTTCACAAACTCCCCATTCAAAGGCTACACAAAAGCTGAGATGGACAGGCCAAGGATGGTATGGAATATTCAAATTGGTCTAAAGTGAAAAATTTAATAACGGCTACCATCACAAGAAGATCCCTGCCTTTTTGGGGGGGCGGAGTATATAGACAAGAATAGAATAGCCCTTTATTATAATTTAAACCAATGGTTAAGTGTAGTCACTGAGTGAAAAATAGCTTTTAAATATTTTCTTTCACCTTTACGATATTAAATTAATTAAAAAACTAAATTAAAAGGTTTTAGATTTGTTTTTAAAACAGTCATTTGGAAACTGAAAAAGTAAACCAGAGGTTTAAAGGCTTATTGACCAGTCATCTGGTGTTCAGCCAGTCTAAGTTAAGCACCTTATTTCTTCAGTGCGTTGATGATAGCACCAAGCTTCCAGTGGAAACCCTGAAGAAGATTGAAAAGACTTCAGAGATGGAGCAGCTGGTTCATCCTGTGGGAAACTCTGGCCTTCTTCTCTTCAATCACCAGAGCTATACTCACATCCAAATTGATGGCTCACCAAACAGGAGAACCAGTCACCACACTGTTATCTTCTTATCTTTAAGTGAGTAAAAACAATAATCTGAAGTAGTAAAAATGCTAAGAAGAATATGCTATAATGTATGTTTGTGTATATCTGAGATCATACCTCAGGGCGAAAATGGTGCAGTAACCAAATCTCCTTGATTGATGCGGAAGGTGCTGTGATCACAGCCATGTAATTATGAATGTATTAAAAGAATATAATATTATTCAACGGGTTTACCTGAGTTTGAAGACCAAAAATTAACAGAACCTCAGAGAGAGAGAGTGGGGTGGCTGAGGTGCATTTGTGCATTTAGATGGGTTTTAATATTTAGTATCATCCCTGCTTCTTTTTGTGGTTTTCCGCAGACAATGGAGGAATTCATAAAGTATTGCACAATAAAAATGATACCTTTCTCATTGCTGAGTTTCGACCATTCAACTACACAGAACAGATCAGCTTCATCCTTCACCCATCTTCTGTGAGTACCAGTGTTCCCTACAGAACAATATATCCTCCACTAAACCATATAGGTGTGTGAGTATGGAAAACAACTTAGATGCTCCTGAAAAGGAACATCAAACTTAGATCTGTAAATTAACTCCAGTGGAGTTTTTTGTTTTTGTTTAGAAATGGCCGAGTACATTAAGAAAACTTGTCCATCGTTACAGAAAAAGCTGTATGTGAACAATGGAAGTCAACTGGTCCAACTTGATGTAGCAGACTGCTCCCAGTATGGAGATACCTGCCAGGACTGTATGTTATCCAGAGATCCTTACTGTGGCTGGGATGGCACCCAGTGCATACGTGACACAAAGTAAGACCTCAGAGCTTTATGGAACTCATATCTGGAGAATATGCAGAATAATTCTTCGCAACCAAAGATTGCATGAAGTAGCCTTACATTTTTCTAACAGCAAGCTGAAATAAAAATGTAATGTTTACTAATACAAACATTATTAAGAACCTACCAATGTTACCACCATAGGTTGCAAGATCATGTACATTGTAAAAGATGGTCATATTTATAAAAACAATGTTCCTTAGTATTCAAACACTCCTCAGTGTACCTCTTGATTCATACACAGGTGTGATTCACATCCTATAACGTCATACTAGCACGCCCTGAAATGTGTACATAATATGCAACATTATTAGCTTACTTTTTGCCAGTGGTGTTGCACCACCTGACAAAGCTTGGTGGATGAATCACTGCACACTTCATCAAGGATGAAGCAGCACTTAGGAAATACAATGTCCCGTAAATCATGTTATCACAATATTTCAACACTCACTGTCACTCATTGGAGCTTTTGTTTATGAATTTGTCCTACTGTAGTACAGCTCTACTGCTTTATGAAAAGCTAGTGTACTGTGTAACAACCAGTTATCACCCAACGGGTGTTAGGCTTTTTTGTTCAACTAACTAAAGCTGATGCAAGTCAAGATACTTCAGCATAATTTCAATTAATTTAAAGGGATATACTTGGGAGGAGTAAGGTTCCTGTGGGTTCCTGTAAATGTTAGTTTTCTATCAACTGCCAGGATGTTGGTTACATACTGTCTAATGTAAACATACACTATGTTTTGCAGTGGGATATGGCATGATGCAGCCACTGGGAACCTAGCCATCTGTCAAGAACACGCTGAAAAAGGTATTTAAATTCAGGCACCTGCAAAATTTGGACAGAAATCTGCATAGATATATAGAATTAGCATATTTAAGATAAGATAAGATAAGATAAAACTTTATTAATCCCTCGGGTGGGTTCCTCTGGGAAATTCGGTTTGCAAAAGAAGTCACCGACAGAAGTTACAGTTACAGAATATTATATATATATATATAAAAACACACACACGACATATATATAAATAATATATATATATATATTATATATATATTATATATATATATATATACATTATATATATATATATATATATAAAAAAACACCCAGCACGCCCCTGCGGGCGGTTTATCCTTCAAGCTCGGGTCCTCTACCAGAGGCCTGGGAGCTTGAGGGTCCTGCGCAGTATCTTAGCTGTTCCCAGGACTGCGCTCTTCTGGACAGAGATCTCCGATGTTTTCCCGGGATCTGCTGGAGCCACTCGCCTAGCTTGGGAGTCACCGCACCTAGTGCTCCGATTACCACGGGGACCACCGTTACCTTCACCCTCCACATCCTCTCGAGCTCTTCTCTGAGCCCTTGGTATTTCTCCAGCTTCTCGTGTTCCTTCTTCCTGATATTGCTGTCATTCGGAACCGCTACATCGATCACTACGGCCGTCTTCTTCTGTTTGTCTACCACCACTATGTCCGGTTGGTTAGCCACCACCATTTTGTCCGTCTGTATCTGGAAGTCCCACAGGATCTTAGCTCGGTCATTCTCCACCACCCTTGGGGGCATCTCCCATTTTGACCTCGGGACTTCCAGGTTATACTCGGCACAGATGTTCCTGTACACTATGCCGGCCACTTGGTTATGGCGTTCCATGTATGCCTTGCCTGCTAGCATCTTGCACCCTGCTGTTATGTGCTGGATTGTCTCTGGGGCATCTTTACACATCTTTATATATATGTGTATATATATATATATATATATATATATATATCTTCCTCCTAGCGTTTTTCCCGCTCGGTTGCAGGGTCCGCTTTTCTGCAAAGTCGTCTCCACTTGGGTCGGTCAAGGGCGTCGGTCAGATCGGCTTCGATCTTCTTCACGTCGTCCTTGATTCGGTCCATCCATCTCCGCTTTGGTCTGCCTCTAGGTCGACGTCCTTGGGGGCTGAGCCGCAGTGCTGTTCTCACCACTGAGTTCTCATCGCTCCGTACCACATGTCCGTACCACCGCAGCCTCGCTTCTTGCATCTTATCAGTGATTGGCGCGATTCCCATCCTCTTTCTAACGTCGGTGTTCATGATGTGGTCCCATCGTGTCAGGCCTAGGCACCATCGCAGCATCCGCATTTCCATCGTGTGAAGGGCTTGTTCGTGCTTTGCGGTGGCTGGCCAGCACTCGGATCCATAGAGGGCGACGGGGCGCACTACACTCTTGTAGATCTTTGACTTGAGGCGATTGGGCATTCTTCGGTCACACAGGACGCCGGTGACTTGGCGCCATTTCATCCACGCTGCGTTGATCCTGGCTCGTACATCTAGTAGGATATCGCCGTCATTGCTGATCATCGATCCGAGGTATTTGAAATGAGGTACTTTCGCCAGATTTTCTCCATCGACGCTGATCGTGCCGTCGGTCTGGGGGCCAGCCTCTAAGTATTCGGTCTTGTTGGTGTTGAGCCTCAGGCCGAAGTCAGCTAGGCGAGTCTTCCACTGCTGCGTTTGGTATTGCAGTTCTATTCGCGATTCATCGGCCAGGAAGACATCGTCGGCGTAGAGAAGTGTCCAGGGATGGGGTGACTGGAGATCCGCCGTCGCAGTGTCCATGCAAAGGATGAAGAGCAGCGGGGAGAGTGCCGAGCCTTGGTGGACGCCCACATTGATGTTAAAGGGCGGCGATGTTCCCACTGGGCTTCTGACCACGCTGGTGACTTGTCGGTAGAGGAGCTTTGTCCAGTTGACGTAGGCTTCAGGAACTCCATGTGATCGCGGAGGGTTTGATGGTTGGCATCCTTGATGTGTTTGACCTGGCCAATATCCTGTGTTGCTCGATGGCGGCTGCTGGCAAGGCGGTAGATTTTGTTCGCTCCTCCGGGCGTGTCCAACTCTTCATACAGTTGGTCATAGTGCGATGCCTTTGCCGCTGCTACCGCCTTCTTTGCGGCCGATCGTAGGGCCCTGTATTGCTGGTAGTCGCCATCGCTGCGGGATTGAAGCCACACTTTGAGTGCCGACTTCTTTTCCTTGATGGTTTGCTGCACGCTATCATTCCACCACCATACTTGCTTGTCGATGAAGTGCTTCCCTGGCTTCGTCGCCCCAAGGGTGTTGCCTGCTGCGTCACGTATTTGACTGGCGATGTTCTCCCAAGCCTTGTCCACTGGCTCATTGGAGTCCACGTCGAGGTGTTCAAGGGCGTCCATAAGCTGCTGTTTGCACTCAGGGAGGCGCCACCACTTGATCTTCTCCACCGTCGTGGTTGGTGTTCTTCGTCGTTGTTGGCCAAGGTTGAGTCGGAGATCCATCACAAGTAGCCGATGTTGAGGGCCAATATTGGTTGATGGTATGACTTTTACGTTCGTGACTAGGCTGAGATGGGGTCTTCGGACTAGCCAGTAGTCGATTTGGGTGTCTCTGCCGCCGCTGGAGTACGTGATGAGGTGTGCCGGCTTCTTTTTGAAGAAGGTGTTGGTCACGGCAAGATCGTGGGCCTCTGCGTAGTCCAGTACCCGGCAACCGTCGTCGTTTCTGGTCCCAAATCCTTGGCCGCCATGGAATCGGTGATATCCGTCTCTCCCCTTGCCTACATGTCCATTTAGGTCGCCGCCTACCGCCACGTGTTCCTCAGGGCTAATCGTTTGCAGGTGGTCGTCGAGGGCGCGCCAGAATTCTGTCTTCTCCTCGTCGGGGCAGTTGGTCTGTGGTGCATAGCAGGAGATAATCCGTAGGATGGTCGGGTCGGCGTCGATCTTCACTGACATGATGCGATCCGATATGCGGGTAACTTCGACCACTTGTCCCGGAGCTTTTGACTCACCACTATGCCCACTCCATTCTGGGCCCAGTTGCCATTGTAGAAAAGCTTGAAGCCTTCTCCAATGTCCCGTGCCTTCGCTCCCTTCCACTTGGTTTCTTGAATGCACGCGATGTCGATGCGGCGGGTCTTGAGGGCGTCAGCCAATTCTCGACTTCTTCCGGTCATTGTTCCGATGTTCAGGGTTCCAAGGCGGATTTGGGCTTGCTTCTTCAGCCCACTCCGTCCATGAGCAGGTAGCCTTTGTCCACTTCTCACGTCGTTCAGGCGGGGACGACGCGCGTCGCCTACGGGGGACGCCCTAGCTTTTTGAGACGTCATTGCATGGGATGTGACTGTGGAATACATCGACCGGCGCGTCACTCCACCTGACGTCGAGGACCCTCACCGTTAGCCAACTTCCTGAGGGTCGTTGTTTCCAGCTGGCACCGCGAGGAGGTGGTGATGGGATTTTGCCAGCCTATGTACTAAGGTAGTACTAATAGTTGTAATTATAATATATAATATATATATATACACACACACACACATATATAAATACAGAGACAATATAAATAAAATATACGAAGGGGATAAATAGAATAAATAGGAATAAAAATAAAAATACAAGTGAATTGCACATTTCAAGTATTGAGGTCTATTGCACTGTTGACTATTACAAAAGTATTGCACAAAAGGTATTGCACAGTGAGGTGAAGAGGCACTACAGCTTAGTTGTTCCCCCCTCCTTTGTCCTCCTGTTTCCCCTCCCTCTCCCCTCCAGAGAGGAGTTAAACAGTTTGATGGCGTGTGGGACAAAGGAGTTTTTAAGTCTGTTAGTTCTTGTCTTGGGGAGAAGCAACCTGTCACTGAACAGACTCTTCTGGTTGTTAATGGCCGTGTGCAGAGGATGCCCAGCATTGTTCATAATGTCCAGCAGTTTTTTTAGTGTCCTTTTCTCTGCCACTGTCACCAGAGTGTCCAGCTTCATGCCGACCACAGAGCTAGCCTTCCTGATCAGTTTCTCCAGCCTGGATGAGTCCTTCTTTGCTGTGCTGCTCCCCCAGCACACCACAGCATAGAAAAGTACTCCAGCAACCACTTTATTAATCCCTCGGGAAATTATGTGGGTTACAGCTGCTCCAGCACAGTAACATTAACAAAAATAGACTGAACTATTTAACAATACAATATGTTAACATACAAGGAATAGCACAATATATACAAATCACCAAATAATAAATATCCAGGGTTGACAGATGCAATTATAAATAACTATCAAGAATATTCACAGCAACATTATTGAGTAGAAAAGAGTGTGTGCAAAAAGGATGTAACTATTGCAGTGTTTACATTGTATTAGATACAGGAGTTGTACAGGGAGATGGCCACGGGCAGGAAAGATTTCCTGTGTCGTTCAGTGGTGCTTTTTGGTAATCTCAGTCTCTCACTGAACGTGCTCCTGTGACTAGCCAGCATGTCATGGAGTGGGTGGGAGGTATTATCCAACATTGTCTTTATCTTGGAAAAACTTTCGCCCCTCTGACACCACCTTAAGAGAGTCCAGCTCCATATCCACATTACTGGCCCTGCAGATAACTTTATTTAGTCTGTCGGCATCAGCAATCCTTAACCTGCTCCCCAAGCATGCAACAGCATAGAGGATAGCACTGGCCACAACAGACTTGTAGAAAATCCTGAGCATTGTCCGACAGATGTTGAAGGACCTCGGCCGCCTCAGAAAATAGAGACGACTCTCGCCCTTCCTATAAAGTGCAGTAGTGTTTTTAACCCAGTCCACTTTATTGTCTATGTGTACTCCAAGGTATTTATATGTCCACGTTGACCCCATGGATTGAAACAGGGGTCAAGGGTTTTCTGGTCTTCCTAAAATCAACAGTCAATTCCTTGGTCTTTCCCATGTTGAGCTGCAGATGTTTCTGCTCACACCACATGACAAAGGAGTCGACCACAGCGCAGTACTCTGACTCATCACCCCTGCTCATGCATCCAACCACTGCAGAGTCATCAGAAAACTTCTGGAGATAGCAGGTCTCTGTGCAGTGGCTGAAGTCTGTGGTGTAGAGGGTGAAGAGGAAGGGGGAGAGGACAGTCCCTTTTGTTTCCCCTGTGTTGCTGATTACCTTGTCAGACACAATGAGACCACACATATTGTGGTCTTCTTGTCAGGTAATCAAAAATCCAGGACACCAGAGAAGCATCCACTTGCATTGCTGTTAGTTTATCACCCAGGAAGGTCAGCCTGATGGTGTTGAATGCACTGGAAAAGTCAAAAAACATGACCTATGCAGCACTCGCTGGCTGGTCCAAATGGGTGTAGACACGATTGAGCAGGTAGAGATGATGGCGTCCTCATTTCCGAGTAAGGACTGGTAAGCAAATTGAAGGGGATTCTGATGTGGTCTGACTATGGGTCGGAGTAGGTCCAGGATGAGTCTTCCCAGGATTTTCTTGATGTGGTAGGTCAGTGCCCACAGGCCTGTAATCCTGGGGGTCAGCACTGGGACCCTCTGCACACTCAGACTCAACATGAACAGTTTATGAAAGACTCCACAAAGCTGGGGGGCACAGGCCTTGAGGACACGGGGACTCAGTCCATCTGGTCCAGCAACGTTTGCCTCCTCATTTGCCTCTGAACCTGGTCTTGAGTGAAAGTGATGTGTGGCAGCCTCGCTTCTGTCAGTCTGCTCCAGGGCAGCTGTGGCTACAACTGTAGCTGCCTCCACCAGTGTGTGAATGTGAGAGTGAATGAATAATGGTATTGTAAAGCGCTTTGAGGGTCTCGAAAAGCGCTATATAAATGCAATCCATTATTATTATTATTGTGAATGCATTCCAGCAACTGGAAGAAATCTTGGTTTGTCTTCTTTTTTTTGTCTTCTTTTTTTCACGATATGCTCTCTTTCATGTTGTTTTCCTATTGGTTGGAATGTAGATGTGGGTTTTAGCAGCAGTCACATGGTTATATAAAATTTCTGACACTATCAAAGCTTTTAATGAGACATTTGAAAGGTTTTTACTGATACATTTTCAATCTGATGGCTTATCTATTGCTTCCTAAAAAAAGGTTTCAACCATTTTCCCAAAGAGCTTAGTGCACTGGATTTGTGAGAAAAAATCAGAAATTTAAAAAAAAAAAGATGTAAAACAAAAACATGGCTAAGCTAAATGGGCGTTCTTGTGTTTTTTTCCGCAGAATTTCCAAATCCAGAAAAAGATGTTGTCAGATTTCACGCAAAGCATTTTCTGCAATGCCCAATATCCTCCCGTCATGCTCAGTACAGTTGGCACCACCTTCAAAACTCTTCATCTTGCATCGGGAAGCCAGATCATTGCCTTTATTTGATCAACAGCATGGGACCTGAGCAGGAAGGAACTCATACCTGTGTATCAGAAGAAATGGGTTACAGGAAAATCCTGGCACAGTACCAACTACAGCTGGGGAACAAGGTGGTTGGTTTACAGTCAAAGCCAATGATCTGGGTTTGTGTCATGGTGGTTCTGATTCAGATGTTGTGATGTTAGTTCCTCAGAGTTGTGATACTATAAAAAAAAATTCATTATTCTTTAATTTATTTTTATTTTTTTTAACTAAAATAAAACTCTATTACTTCTAATACTTTGAGCTGCAGCTCAGGATGTAGAGCAAGCCATTATTGTAGAGTTTTGATATCTGGTTTCGCAAATGTCCTTGGACGAGATCAATTGCCACCAATGCATTCATTAGCGTGTGTGAGAGAGATAGATTAAAAAACAAACTGCAGTTATACAGCCACGCTCCAAAGCTTTTCTTTTTTTGAGGGGCTAATTCATTCATTTTTTTCTTCTTATGGAAAAAATATATTGAATATCAGTTGGACTCAGGCTTGTTGACAGTATTAAAAGCTGAAGTTCAATGGTATAAAATGCTGTCTGTGGTAATTTTTAGAAATTAATTGCAGTGTTGCATGCAGTACATGCACGCATGTCAATCAATATTGATTGATTCATTTTTTTTTTATTCTTTCCTGTAACTGTTGCATCTGTTTCCTGTAATTTGAAATTCTGCCAGAATGTACACAGTGCACGTTATAAATTTCCGGCCATGTGTCTTAGCTCATGTAGATTTCCAAACACTGACCCAGTTTCTGTTTGTTCAGAGTTCGGTTAATAAAGAGAAGAAACACTCAGACACTTTTCCCCTATTTTTGAGTGAAACCTGATCATAAATTCCAAGTAGAAAGGTAAGACTTTTGACCTCACAGTGCTTTAGGATAGCAAGCAAGTTGCTGCTTTTCAAATCCTTAACCTGGCAGTACAAATGAAGCTACAAACAAAACAAAAAGAGATTTAATTTATCACATTTTTGCAGTTACGTGAGTCCAAAGAAATACCACATCTAAACATTTCAACCATCTTTTCCACATATAAACTAAAGGAAATAAACTGCAAATGTTTACAACATGCGTCTGTCTTTTTCAGAGTCTCTCATGTTAGTGTCTGATGATAAACAACTCCAAACATGTTACCACAAAAAACGCGCTGATGGGTCTCATTCTCCATAAAGTGAATAAACACCTCTCACAATATAAACACAGACCATTACCATGTGAACCTCCTGGTTAACATCCATAAAGAAAAGGGTTATTTTGGCACCTCGCATCTTTCATCTGCATTCATGCTAGTGCTGATCCACAATGATAGCAAACCCTATATATATATATATATATAGTGGTCTATTTTAGACAAACCTTTAGCATGGTGTTGTTATGGAGCACATGTGCCAGGCAGATTAGGAGTCATTCAGGAGAAACTAGGAACTAACTAGGCTTTATTGGAGAAGCACAGGACACACTGAGCGCACAGCTAAACGGAGCTGGAAGACTGTTTACTTAGCCTGGCAGGGCGAAGGACACTGTCTCAGCTGAACTCTGGACATATATACACATGCAGATGTACACTCATCCCCCCTCCCCCTCCAAACGCCTTCGACGCTTATTCCCCTCCGATGCTGACGGTGGATCAAGGAGAGCAGCGCTTATGCTGCAGACCCGGATGCACTGTGTACATTGGCTGTGTCTCACCCTTTACCCACCCCTGTTGCTTGTCATGTGTTTCTTTGGTGTATTAAGAGGGGTTTTTTTCATGTGCTATGTACAGAGGTGTTTTTTTCTGTTCTCAAACTGATCTCCCTGTTGGAGCTCAGTCTGGGGGGAGTTATTTTTTTCTCCTTATCTTTCCTCATGTTGTGCATTTTCCATTGTTATACCTCTGACCTGTCTTCCCCATGTGATGTTTGTGTCATGTATGTATGGTCAGAAGGGTAAGATGGCGCTGGCAAAGGTCGGCAGCCTTAACCCAATTTCCTTCGGGGTCAACCTTCAGGATCAATAAAGTTTAATTGAATTGAATTGAATAGAATAGAAGAAGTTCGATTACAGCAGAACTTTCCAAAAGAAAGTTTTAGCTGAAGCTACTTGGGGGGAAAAAATCAGAACACTTATAGGTTTACAATGTTTTTATTTCATTTTTTAAAGTGTCAGCAAAAGCAGAAACCCACTTAAGTAAACTGCATATAGTGCTCATAGTATATACAGATAGAAACATTAAACTATTAATGAGGTTGTGCAGTAAGTGTGCGAACACTAACACTTCCTTTCACAAACCAGGCTGTGGATGGCACTGTTACATTAAGAAAGATAAAGATTTTTCTATGAGTCTGCTTTGCCCAGTGCTATCCTCTATGCTGTTGCACGCTGGGGGAGCAGGTTGAAGGTTGCGGATGCCAACAGACTAAATAAACTGATCCGCAAGGCCAGTAATGTTGTGGGGATGCACGTTCAGTGAGAGATTGAGATGACCAAAAAGCACCACTGAACGACACAGGAAATCATTCCTGCCCGTGGCCATCCCTGTACAACTCCTCTATCTAATACACTGTAAACACTGCAATAGTTACATCCTTTTTGCACACGCTCTTTTCTACTCAGTAATGTTGCTGTGAATATTCTTGATATTAATTCATAATTACCTCAGTAAATCATTGATATTTATTATTGAGTGATTTGTCTATATTGTGCAATTTCTTACATTTGTAAATCTGTAACATATTGTATTGTTAAATAGCCTCGTCTGTTTCTGTTACTGTATTGGAGCAACTGTAACCCACGTAATTTCCCGAGGGATTAATAAAGTATGCTGATTCTGATAACAGAATATTACTTTAACACTAGTTAATGAAAAAATATGTTTCATGTAGTGAAGTTGGATTTGCTATACATATAATATTTGAGCATAGCCACCACGATAGGAAACTTTCCTATCAGTCACTCATCAGTTACTGAGGTCTGTAAGAAGTCCATCACCTTGATGTTCTCAAGCAGAACATTGCAAAAGAGGGACAGATCAGACTGAAAAACCAAGGAGACCTGACCATCACAAGAAGGTCCCCGCGTCATCGTCTTTTTGGACTAACTGAGGCCATAAGCAAGCAATGCGAAAAAAAACAGTTGTTTAAGGCATTTCCACTTTGCATTCAGTCTAATCAGACTGGCTTTCCAATATGGTAACGCATTCCTTACTTCACTACTTATTTACCCCTTCACTAAGAGGTGGCGGAGTCCACTACAAGTTTCCTACCTGCACCTGTGCTCATAAAAGGAAAAACCCAGCCCCGCCTACCAGGGGCGGTTCCCAGACCCAGGTCTCACCTGTCACATTCATGCATCCTTTTGTTAAGATTTCACTTTAATGTTTATCAGTCATCACATGTGCATTCTCAGACTTTAGTATTTTCACGTTTTACAGCCTGACTATTTATTTTAAGTTCGAAGCTCACTCTTAGAAACATCAAATTCACTCTTGACATACATAAACACACAAAAAAAGAGTAAAAAACTAACATCGTTATCTTTTTGACCGCACCCACCCAGATAGTACAGGACCCATCCGTGCCTCGTTCCATCTCGCTCCTTCCCCAAAAAAACTGGAGTCTAGCTTGACACAAGTCCCAAAATGGATATGGCTGGAAAAGCAAATACGGATACGGTGTGTTTACTTTTCTCATTCATACTAACTGCGACGCGGAAATTAATCTCAGTAGCTACATCACGCAAAAGAGTGTCTCCAGGAAGAGCTGGACTATACAAAGGAGAAAGGTGGACTCTTCAAACATTTCCTCTTTTGTTTAATTTTTTAAAGATGGTCACATTTTCTGCTCTTCCCTGTTTACGTGCTTAGAAAAGGGTACGACTTGTTGTGACTTTGCGCCCTCTCGAAACGTCATGAGACCATAAAATGTAGCCGTAGGCGTGATATAAAAATAAAAATTATTACGTGGCTTTCTCGTATATGGGCGGTGCAGCTGTGTAGTACCTCTAGACCTGAAAACATTTCTCTTTCAATGCTATTTTCTATCGCGATCAAGAACAAGTAATTGGGAAAATAATTTTCTGAACTATTGGATCCATCTTATAATATCGTGCCTGAAGATCTGGAAGATGAGGTTCTCATTAGTGGCATGTCTATTTTTTTTACACATCTGTTGTCTGGCTGTGGGAAACGATCGTTCCCCGAGGATGATATTCACAGAGAAAGGTAGGAAATGGGGTTTTTTTTCTCTTTTTAACTAAGATAAAAAAAAAATAGTGTAAACATGAGTCATAAAACCCAAAATCGGGAAAATCTTCTCAATCATGTTAAGTGACTTCCTGGCATACTTTACGTCTATTAAAGTCTATAGTCTATGACTATAATCAATATGAATCATTGTGATTCAGGACAAAAACACGACGTATTCCTTTCAAAAGTACAGTAGGTATTATTCAATCCCGTTAAAGTGTGTGTCCACCATACATATGGCTCAGAAGATCATCATTGCCTAATAATCTCTGACGCTATATAGAATAAAATGCACATAAATGTATATTTTTACATTATTGGGGGGCTACATAAGCAATCACTTGATGACAGCGCCCCCAGCAATGTCTCTGTTTTATGAGAATAGTTTGCACTTTTGGGATGTTTCAGGTAAAGTGTGTTTTAAGTCTCCAACACTGATACTTGTCATGAAATATCTTCATGTTCGTCTCTCCAGCTGTTGCAACAAAAGTCTTATTTATTAATGAGAAGGCACACTGTTAACATAACATTAGAATACAATGTCAGAATATTATGCTAAAACTGCGTTATTATTACTACCTTTGCTAAAGTTATATTTAGGGACGCTATGATGAAATTTAGGGGGTGGTTGTGCACCCCTAAAAAAGGGTCTACACGTGGCTTTGGATGGACAGACGTTAAGTTTCCTGGTTTTTTCAGAAAGACTCCTACGCTGTTCAGTTTTAGGCCCCCTGTTCTTTAGTTTTTTCTTCTGTACTTGCAAATAACACCTGGAATGCTATGTTAACATGTAAAGAGAATCTTTACACAGATGTTTTAGGCTCTTCTGAGTCAAACTTGAGGAATGTCTGGCTGTTTTTGAACAGCTGCAGACATCATTGTATACCACGAAGTTGCTCAATCGTGGTAAGAAAGCCAAAGCCATGTTGATACATTTCCTTCTTATCTATGTAAGTTGCTATCACTTATGTGCAGCTGCTTGGGTGCCTAAATTCTACAACTTGCTCGGACATTAAAGTCTTATTTGCTTCCTGTTTATGGGACAAGTGTGTTAGAGCCCAAAGCACTTATAAAGAATTCTGTAGCTGCAGAGTGCAAATTGTGTTACTAAGCTGGACTTTGATAATGTTCTTTGTTTGTTCTAATTTCCTATATTTATGTGTTGTTGCTTTAATTTATATTTTCATAACATTGTTTCCTGGTCAAGTGTCCCATGAAATAAAGAGTTGCATCCATTTAAAGAAATGTTTACAAGGTTCTATGTACAAAGGAAGGCATGTAAAAGAATAAAGACGTTAGGGTTTCAATTAGTGGAAGTTTAATTATTGACTTTTTCACCACGTTTTGACACTTACACTGAATTCCATTTAGCTTCTCCAGTTTCAGGGGTTTGATAGAGTTCATACTGGGTTTAGCTAATTAATATATTATATAATATTAACATTTATATCATTTTATTTCGTATCAGAATCAGAATCGTGTTTATTGGCCAAGTATATGTGCAGACACATACAGGGAATTTGGTTCCGGTAGAACCATGGTATGAGACCATTGCTCTTTTGATTACATTTTTCAGAAAGCCTCGTCATTGCTGCAGTTAGAAGAAGTAATTTAGCTTATAAAGCACACTGACTTTCTCAGTAAAAGTGTGCAAACCAAAAAATTGCTTCACTCAGTTGATTAACATCAGGTCAACGCCCTGTACTTTCAGTAAGCACTAACATCTGCTGATGTGTACTTTTCTTCTCAGATTACAAAAGTAATAGTTTGAAACAAAAAGAAAACCTTCACCTTTAAACACAGAATAAACTTAATATTTATAACTAAAAGCTTATATTAGCAAGTTTATTACAGTAAAAACCTAAAACTCTCACATTCTGATTTCTGTAATGTGGGTGAGGGCGTAACAAAGTAACAAAAATGGATCCCCAAAGGGTTTAGGATTCATTCTCAGGATGACGGGAAAAAAATAATTAAAAACAAAAAATATATGACTTTAGTGGCAGCACTATACTACATAAATGGGTTAACTGTTGAGCCTCATTGTGGTACATGCTATAGATATTGGGAGATGTTCCAGGCAGGACCAGACGGACTGAGAACAGGTTATTCATGTATAAACATGTGTACAGTAACATTTTGTCCTTGTGCTGTGCTTGGCAATTTTACATCATTGGCTGTGTTTATCCTTTAATATATGTTTGTTTGTTTTTTATTCTTAATTCTAGAAGCTGCAATGAATAGGTTAGATCTTCCTGATGATCCACCGGTGCGGATTCTTCTAGAAGAGCAGCCGGACACTGTCTTAGCTGTTGGAAAAACATACCTGAATACCTACATTAAAAACCAGAAAAAGGTAGAACATAGCTGTATAATCACACTAAATTAATGTATTGAATGCTCTGGAATAAATGGATCTTCATATTAATATCATGGGAAAGTAATAGTCATGCATTATGTATTTCCACAGAATCAAAGACGTATGCGGTTGGAGAATTGCAACAGTGAGGTAAGTAAGCAGTGAACAGATAAACAGAGCAAAATTAAGTAGTTTGTTAAATTGTATTGTTTGAACACTCAAAAAATCTAACAACAATCTTGTTATTTAGGATTGCAGCTATAACATCACTTTGGCCCACCTTATGGAAGATGCTAACCAGTTGTTTGTGTGTGGAACCACTGACGATGAAACAGTTTGCTGTAACTTGGTAGGTCACTACTGTGACAGAGAACTGATATAATACTGGAAACTGGTAGTTGTGTTGTTTCTGCTCAGGGTTGATACTAAGCGAAGCTACTTCTACTTTGGTTTAATTGAAACAGCCCTCTTCTGCAAACAAAGCAAATACATCACAGCACTTCCTGTTTAGCCATATTTGTTTTTGCTTTATAATTTTTTTGAACTATCTGTTAGATACAGGGTGTTGGCTATACATGTTTATCATCTGTGATGTACATTAGTTGGGATACATTAAGATAAACTGTTCTTTCTTTTTAATAGAATTTGGCAGAGCAGTCACCGATATGCAAGGATATAAAAGATATAAGCTCGTTTAACATAAATGAGGGTGACCTGTCGGCCCTTGCAGGTGAGTTTTTTACACACAAGATGCTTTTGAATAAATCTGCTGATGAATCCCTCCTTCCTCATTCACCTTTTTCTATGAGTCTGTAATTTTTATCCTTCTTGTGTGTTTACAGAAAGTCTGTACTTTTGTCAAAACTACTAACATCTTTTATTTAAATCAGTCCCTTTTAAAGATTGCTTCTTCTCCCTATTACTATAATATTGAACTAGTTTCTCCCTGTTTGTACATCCCTATAAAACCTCAATTTGCCACTGTTTGTTCCAGAATCTGAACAAAGTACAGATCTCTACATAACACACTCTGGATCTGATGAATCTGTTGGCATTCACAAATTTGGTAAAGCAAGAGTGCAGCCAAAGAACCACAATAAAGGTATTTTCATAAAGTTAGAGCCACAGAGACCTTATTTAGTGAAATCACATCACTATAAATGTTTGGAGACAAATAAATATTTCTCTTTCAATGTTTAGAGCAGCATTATGTAGGATTGGTGCTCAGCAAACGCGAGGATCCCTCCCAGAACAGAGTTTATGGCTTCTATAAGGAGAAAACCGAAGACACTGGACTGTTCAGTGAAATGTGGCTCCCCTTTGTGACCCAGGTTTGCATGGTAAGACCAAAATAGTTAGAAAATTTGTTTTAAGTGCCACCAACAATAAAAAAGAAATAAATAAACATAAATACATAATGATTGACTGTCCATTGCTTCTAGACAGATGTTGGTGGTCCTAAGAACAACTTGCAGTTTACTTGGACATCCCAGATGAATGCCAGGCTCTTCTGTGGAGATCAGGAGAGAAAACAGCATTTCTCTGAGCTGGTGGATGTTTCCACTGTGGATGCAGATCGATGGCAGGATACAAAGATCTATGCACTCTTTAGAAATGAATGGTAGGACTATTATCATTGATTTTGATGCTTCTACTCTATCATAGTTAATATATGTCATTATTATGGTAATATTATTCACATTTCTACATTTGATTTAACATGAAATAATAGTTATAATACAGTTATTGTCTGTTTTTATGACTCAGTGTTTGTGTAACTGAGTCATGTGCTGTTTTATTTTTCAAAATATGATCATGACTGGTTTAACATCACATGGATGTTAAACCAGTAACCAAAGGTTTAAACCAGAATGATTTGGCTGCTTGATTTGGAATTTTTACACAGAAGTAAAACACAGGAACTTGGGAAAATTGTAATAGAAAAAAATGCCACCCTCATAGTGCTTTTATGATTTAACTTAGATTTATTTGGTCAGGTGACACTTTATGTCCTCTGTAGTTTTAAGCCATGTTCTGTTTATTTTTCCCCTTTTTTCAGTCTGTATGGTCAGCTGTTTTTGTTTTTCCAGCCATTGTGCTTTAAATGTGTCAGACAAACCTGCTGACTATGTGTCGCCCTGCAGGGGGATGAGTGCTGTCTGTGTCTACACGATTGAAGACATCAACAAAATCTTCGAAAACTCTCCTTTCAATGGCTACACAAAAGACCAAATGGACAGACCAAGGACGGTATGAGACATTTAAACTGGTCTGAAGAGAAAAGTGTAACAAACAGTGCCACTACACAAAGATTCATGTATTTTATGGCTGATATCTTTCAAACCAACTGCGTAATTATACTTAAAAGCACAAAGTGGCCTGATCTTTTTAGCTATATCTTTTGGTAAACACAGGCCTCATTAAATTGCCAAATAAATCGAGTGTATTAAACTTGTTTGAAACAAGTAACTTGGAAATTAGAGACATGATTTTCTCCTAATTCACTGATCCTATAACAGCTTTTGAATTTTAAATGGTTACTCCGACGGCATTATCAGAGTAAAGTTTTCATATGCAGCAAGAGAAAACAAAAGGCTTGACATCTTCAAGGGGTAAATGGGGCCACACGTGGTATGAAGCTCTATTAAATAGAGCACTTTTTTCTTCTTCAGTGCGCTCCTGATAGCTCCAAGCTTCCAGTGGACACCCTGAAGAAGATTGAAAAGACTTCAGAGATGGAGCAGTTGGTTCATCCTGTCGGCAACCCTGGCCTTCTTTTCTTTAACCATCACAACTATACCCACATCCAAGTTGACAGTAAACCAAACAGCAGAAGTAGTAATCAGAACGTCATCTTCCTATCTTTAAGTGAGTAAAAAAAAAATCGAAATGATAAAATACTAAATGTTAAGAAGAATGTTCTGTGTGTTTGTCTACAGTGGAAGGTGAGTAGAAACAGGACATAATATTAAAGTAGTCATTACTAGTATATGTCTAGTAAAATAAGGCACACATCGGAACAGACTGAGTGGGACTGGGTTGTAATGAAGAGGAATTATTTACTAAAGGGCAAACGTAGGTGGGTGGTGTAACCTGCAAAACCAGAAACCGAAAGTTTCCTGTATGATCACACCTGCTGGGGTCTCCACACAAAGGTGACAAGTAGGTCAGGTGACAGGTGTGGCACAATCTGAATGTAACATAACACTCCCAGATATAAACTTCTTCTTTTTCCTTTTTTTTCCTTTTTTATGTTGACATAACAGGCTTTTTGTCACAGTACTCGGTCGTGTGACCCAGTGTTTGAGTTTTAGGTATTTTTTGTATTCATTTTCAATCTAGTTAAATTCTAGGTTGCTGTTCAGACCTTATTTCTTAGTTATTTCTGTCATCTCCGCCTGTAATCAGTCTCCCTGGTTCCTGCGTCTACTTGTGATGTGTGTGGTGCTGAGATCACAGTTAGTCACTGGTTGACAAATTTATTTGATGAGTTTATACAGGTTCTGAAGACAAAATGTAGTATCATATAAGGTAACAGATCCAGAGAGTGAGTGGGATGGCAGAGGTGGGTTAGAGTGGTTAGACAGTTTTTAACTGTTAGTCATTTCCTCCCTCACCCCTCACCCCCATTGTGTCTTTCCACAGATAATGGAGGGATTCATAAGGTGCTGCAGAATGAAAGTCACACCTTTGTAATTGCTGAGTATCAACCATTCAAACAAAAAGCACACGTTCTCAGCATCATCCTTCAGTCTACCTTTGTGAGTAACAATGATCACTGTGTAACCAATGTCCCAATCAAACCACAAAGATTACTCATATGGAATAAATGGTTTTTGTGGACGAAAGGGGAAAAATTAACAATTTTATCTCCTAAAGAATCTACTGTAGCATCTAATCAATAACTTTGAAATCATTTCAATCTTTTTTTCCAATGAATTTTATGAAAAAGCCCAGTACATTAAGAAAACCTGTCCATCATTACAGAAAAAGCTGTATGTGAATGATGGAAGTCAACTGGTCCAACTTGATGTAGCAGACTGTTCCCAGTATGGAGATACCTGCCAGGACTGTATGTTATCCAGAGATCCTTACTGTGGCTGGGATGGCACCCAGTGCATACGTGACACAAAGTAAGACCTCAGAGCTTTATGGAACTCGTATCTATAAAATATGAAGAATAGTTCTTCACAGCCAACAATTGCATTAAATGTTTCCAACAGTAAATTAAAATAAGTGTTTACCTTATTTGAGGTAAGTCATACAAGCGAACAACAAGTCAGCTTCACAGTTGTGTTGAATGCTTTTCCTTCCCTAAACAGAAATATGAAATATGTTCATTTTTTATATTCCTGTTTAGTCACCTTAATTTTCTTTACCTATGCTGGTATGTTTCTTTGCCCATTACTACTGCTGCTGATGGTCAACAGTCAAAAGGCAATGAAAGCAGAATCAGGACTGTTTATTAATACCAAGTAACGAGTAAAGTAAGGGATTACTATTGCAAAATCGGTAATTAGATTACCGTTACTTTCCCGTAGGAACGCTGCGTTACTGCGTTACTAAAACCGTGATTTTTTTGCGAGAATGTCTCATGACAGTGACGTAAGCGAGTGCGCCGTTGGTGACAACAGCTGTGTGCAGATCAACAGTGGATCATATATCGATTGTGGGAGAGAGTATGAGCGTGCAGCGTTTAAAGCGTGGAAGTACTGACCTTACTTTGAGTTTGATTCCATAAAAAGTGACAAAAACATTAGCGTCCGTTGTGCGTGGGAAGAAAATTTTTTACAGCGAAAAAACCCCCTAAACTTCCAAGCAAGCACCGAGTGTGCAACGACGTAATGGGAAACTCACAGAGAAACTCGTGGATTCTTCAACTGACCGCGGCACACCTGCACCAGAGTAAACCTCCGCCTATCCCCAGTCCTGCTTTACAGGTGAAATTAGAGCAACCGTTATAGATAGATATAAATAGAGCACAGGACCACTAAGTCTTTGACTTTATTTATTTTCTGCTGTGTTTTACTTGCATCTATTTGAAAGACTGAGTGTAAACACAAAAAATATTTTATTTTATGTGCTGGAATGTGCAGAAAATAGCTTTAAATGTTAAACTAATTTATTCAAGTCAGAGAATGTTACATATAATTAAATTTTTGCTTGATGCATAAAGTTAAAAGATTAAAACTGATAAAACAAGTTTAAAAAAAGAGACTTTTCCATTTGACCATGTAAAAACATGGTCATATTTATACAAACATTACTCCGTAGTATTTAAACACTCATTAGTGTACCTTTTGAATCATACACAGGTTTGATTCAGATACAAAGTCGTGCTCGCACGCCCCGAAGAGTATAAATGATTATGCAACATCATTAGTGTACTTTTTGCCTTGTGCCACCTGACAAAACTCGACAGATGAGTCACTGCAAACTTAATCCAGGATGAAGCAACACTCGGGAATTACAATGTCCCGTAAATCATGTTGTCACAATATTTCAGCACATATTGACACTTGGAGCCGTTTGTGAATTTGTCCTACTGTAGCTCTACTGCTTTATGAAAGGCTAGTGTTCTGTGTAACGATCAGGTATCAGCCAACAGGTGACTTTTGTTCAACTGAGAAAATGTTAACATAAATAACCAAGAAAATCATGAGTATATTTTGTATATTACTCATAGATTAAAGAGCACATATACCAAAACAAGATAATGTGCATTAAATTGAGCAAATTTAATTTACATAGTGCCAGTTCACAAAAGAGAGTGATCTCAATGCATTTTATGTTGTATAGTCTTAGATACTACTAGAGTTAGAGATAGTATAGAGAAACATAGAAGAACAACAAAGAATGTCTAAGGAACTTGGAAAGAAAAGTGTCTGGAATTTCTTGAAGACGTTTCACCTCTCATCTGAGAAGCTTCTTCAGTTCTAGGGTCAAATGGTGGAGAGTCACAGATTTAAGCCCTGTGGGAGTGTCCCCCAAAGAGGGACAAAAGGACCCCCTATAGATCCTCTACCTAATCACATGAGCCAATGTGCGAAAACGGGTGTGGGTCACAATCAGCCAAGGTTTCGGGTGAGCTCATTGTGAAACCTAGCCCCACCCTATCATGTGATTTCCTGAGGTCAGATGGCCCAGGATGTGAGTGGGCGTTAAGGCGTCTGGGAAGGGAACTCAAAACTGGATTATAGATGGCAGACAGTTGGTGTCGTAAACCACCGCCTCTGTTCAAAGATGGCTGTCCACAGTGGACATAGATGGCTTCTTTCACTTCTCTTTAAATCTGGGGCTCTCCACCATTTGACCCTAGAACTGAAGAAGCTTCTCGGATGAGAGGTGAAACATCTTCAAGCTTTGTAAAGAAGTCCAGATGCTTTTCTTTCCAAGCTCCTTAGACTACAATGACCTGGATGACTGAGAACCTTCACAGACAACAACAAAGAATATAACAGCCAACTCCAAGCAGTTTAATTGGACCAGTAACCAAAAATCAGTTATATGCAGCCATGTGTCAAGACATTTTGCTTTAGTCGAGTACAGGATATTGTGTCACATGTATGCAATAAGAATTTTGGCAACTAAACAGTACCTGAGCTCTAAGAATATGCCAGTTTCCATGTCTACAGTGTGCATGTGTCTACCTTAGTATGAGTAACGCATATTTCATTGGTGGGTGATTGCAAGATTCCCTCCAGATGCCTGCAGGCCCTCCAGTCTGTTGTAACTTTCCAGACTTGTCTGTGCACACACTGGCAGACTCAGACTGAAAAAAGCAAGAATATTTCCCTGCACACCTTGCAAGGACTGAATACCTGGATTCAGATGGATATCTATATTAGTTCATGACATTTTCTTGAACATCAAGACAGCGTGCACTAATTTCCCCTTTTTTTTCTCCAACTTGATTAAGATGCATTTGTGACGATATGATGCAAAATGTCACGTTTTTCCCTGTTTTGCAATGTTAGTCCTTCCAAAAATTCCTGGATCCAAGCCTCATTCTAGTCATGCATTTTTCATGCAAATCAGTCCGCAGATGAACTAATAACATTGTCACATTGATCGGGGTAACAAATCCTTTTCTCTGTGGTCCACAGCCCTGCCCATCCATGAGCGTAATCCTGATCATTTGCATGGCTCAATGAAAGTAATGCTATTGTTAATCTTATTATTAAGCACAGCAATTCAGAAATGGCACTATGTTTGTACACTTAGAAATGCGTTGCTGTAAAAAAATGTGTGATTTTGTTTTTCACATTCAGCAGCTGTTATCTTTCAGGAAATGCGGGTTTAAAAAAGCATACTGCGCAAACTATCAAGGAAATTACGTTTTTCAACATAAGTCTGATAATGACACGAGAATTTTTTTCATTCTAAAGAGATGTGTTCACTTAAACTTTCCCAACATTTTTCTTCTCACATGGCAATTTGTTAATTTCTGTAAATACCTTTATAGGAACTATATTGAACTATATCAATGCACTGGTATTTTCATTCTCACTTTGTGATTCTAGTTTTGTTCCACAGAAATTTGACTTGAAGATGAAATTTACCTCTTAAAAGGGAAGGCACCTTTAACTGTAAATGGGAACATTTACACAACATTATAGTGAAAAGAGAACAGGGTCTTGTGAGGTAAAATTAGTGCTACTCAAACCTCAACCAACAAACTTACAAACACAACCACACTGCATGCAAAAGTACAGCTGGGTTTTTGCAGCTCCACACATGCAGATGATTTTTTCGTTTTATGTGGGAGATTACTAACCGCTAAGGATCTTTTTCTCTGATAAAATGTTGTCAAGGTTCACTTCATATTAATCCTCCACTTATGAAAAGATCAGGCTAAGTTGCCCACAGATGGGGAGAAATCCCTTTTTCTTGACAGTTAAGAGGGATAACAAATTTCAGAATATTAGTAATAGTAAAACTCCTAAAAACTCCAAACCATGTAGATGTGGAAGCTCTCTTGGAGCACATTTATGAGTGGGGACAGTACTATATGTTGTAATGTTACAGTTATTGAATCATTCCACTTTTTTTCTTTTGATCTGTTTAGATTTCCTTTTGCTTCGATATCCCAGCACATTCAAAGAGTGTTGTGTGAATGAAAAATACTAAAGTTGGTATTGACTATCTTACAACACTACCAAAAATTATTTTCTAATCAAAGATGTTTTAGTTAGAAAACAATATACACAGATCAAAACTTTCCACTGGTTCCAGTAACATGTTAATTTTTTTAAATCGATTGTTAAGCATAATCATTCCATACGGCCTAATTTACTCATACATTATCTTTTTCAGGGGGAGCTGGCGTGATGCAGCCACTGGGGACCTTTCCATCTGTAATAAGCACAATGGTATTTAAATTCATTTCAGTTTTACTTTACTGCATAATGCCTATTCACAACAAAACTAATCTTGGGACACTTTAAGGTGAAGACCCTGCATAGCAGAGGAAAAACCCAAAGATCAAACGATAGTCTATGAACAATCATAGAAGGAATTGTTTAAATATTTTGGGGGTATTTGAATTTTATTTTCCTGTATTCCGAACACAAGAGCTATTAGATGCACCACAAAACAATACAGTGCTGTATACACTGGTAGTTGGTACTTTTTTTAGCTGAAAATTACCCAAATGTATCCTCTCCCTTTCTTATCTTTTATGATGCTAGTTCAGAATACAAAAACTAAACACAGTTTGTGAGGCCTGTTAGTGTTATCATTAACTGTCCTTTAACTGTTTATATATTTATCTGATATTTAAGAATTACACTATTGGCTTTATCATATAATATAAATGTATTATTTTTTATTAAGTAGTCTAAAAATCTAAGATTGAGTAAAAGGGCCTTTTTAGCTGTAGCCCAGGAGACTGCATGATCGTAATTTCCTACTATTTTCAGTCTTTGGTTCACTTGAATAGATTTGAATGGTTTGCCATTCAAAATAATCTTTATTTAACTTATACCAGATCATGAAGAAGCCCTTCAGTTCAGTTTCTCTTCCTCTATTATAAAACTGACTGATAAAGAAATGCCTGGTGTCATAACAGTAATTATCAAACGTACATGTAAAAAAATATTTTAAATGTGGTTAATTATTAACTAACTCGACAAACTCTCACAAAGAGCTGAGTCAATGCAGTTGAGCAGTAAAGTCTGTTGACTGGCATTAGAGGAAAAATGGCTAAAATGTGGATTGTTTAAATGCAGAATGGACAGCATGAAAGAAAAATAAGGATTTTTTTAATCTTATATTGGTGTGAATTGTATAAAGCTACTTTAGCAGAGTCAAAACAAGAGCAAAATAAGTGAATGGAAAAAAAATCACAATACACTTATACATAAATCAATTATAGGTAGGAAACTGATCTCTTAAAAAGTTAGAAAAGTCTTTGCAAAATATACTGTGTAGATGCATGAGCATATGCAAGAGCTTAAAGACCCCGCTCTCGCTTCCTCTGTGGTTTCCGTTAGTAAACCATGGCGCTGTTTCCTCATATACAAAGCAAAAACAAAAAAAATCAACAGCAGTAACACAAGTAACACAAGCTCTGTCTATACACTAATCAAACAATTCAAAAACGGCAAAATGTATGTTAAAAGGATAAATGAATAAACTCACAGCACATTTTTGAGTAACATATTTCAGAAAACCTACACAAGTAATGTAACACACAAATTTTCCAGCAAATTGATGCAAACCGCAAATTCAAGACAGGACCAGAAACCAGTTACCACCAGGCAATAAGACTCATTTGAATAGCTTGGTAGGTGAGAGTGTGCACATTGTATTCCTCCATATGCAAGGGGGATTCAAACGCACAGCAGACAGCATAACTTTTATTCATCATAGTTTAGCTTCCTGTCTCGCCAAATAGGTCACACGTTAAGGGGAACAAAAACTAGATTTGTTTCTTCTTATAGCTGTGCATCTGTATGCCACACACTTCTGCAATGATACTCATCATTGGTGCCATCTGTGGTCAAATGTGCTTCAGTTTTAATCTTATCAACATCTTAAGATCATGTTTATCTGAGTTACTAAAAAAAGTTTTTATTCCACAACTTGTGCTTTCATCATTACAAACATTTACCCTTTAAAATTTAAATAATTTACATTAATAATATCTCATAGTAATCCTTTTATGTTTATTTGCATATGATATAGTTCTTCTATTTTACCCTTATAGCTGATCAACTTCCTCTTTTAACTTGAAGGCTTTAAAAGGAGAAGTTCTCTTATGCTTTATATTCTATAATTAACAACTGAAACACTTACACACCATTAGGTAATATCTTTTGTATCTATTCTATTTGTTGAGCTGACTGCAGTGGAAAACTCAAATGCATAAATAGACACAATGTCAGTTTTACACTATGTAGACAATGATTGTTAAAATATACAACCGCATTTCCTCTGTTGTTTGCTTTAAAGCTACATTGCCCTTGGTCCTTATATGAGCATTCACCTGAGGGAAGGAAACCAGTTTGATTTAGGTTTACTACACTGCATTTGAAATCTGACTGGTTTAAAAATAAACAGACAAAACGAAAAGCAGAACTGAAGTTGTCCCTCTTCTGTTGTTTCCACAGCATCAAATTATAAAGGTGACCCAGTCCCAGTCCCACGGTACTCAAAGTATTTCCTTCAATGCCCAGTGTCATCCCGTCATGCTCAGTACAGTTGGCAGCACCATGAAAACTCTACAGCCTGTAGCTCGGGGAAAGAGCAGTGCCTTTATCTGATTGACAACATGGACAGTGAGTGCAAGGGAACTTACAAATGTATATCACAGGAGATGGGTTACAGTAAAGTCCTGGTACAGTACGAACTACAGGTGGAGAATGACGCGAAGACCCAACAGTACAAACAACTGTGGCCGAATAAGGCAGAGGGCCGAAAGACAAGCCTAGTGATCTGGGTTTGTCTAATGATGGCTCTGATTAAGAGTTTGTCCTTTTAGTTCCTCAGTGATGTAAGTTAGAGGCTGAATCTGTGATATTCTAAAATCTTAAATTTGTTACAATTACTGTTTTTTCAGTGACAGTTATTGTTTCTTTCCTTCCATTAATTAACTGCACTTCCAACATCTGTGTAAACATCTGTAACAGCTGTGGCTCATACGGGTAATGCAAGCCATTCGAGTTATTTTGTTTGGTTTTTCCAGTGCAATATCAACTCTCTGCAATATATGTCGTTTTTTTTTAAACAAATAATGACCTTATGAATTGTATGAAAATGTAAACGTTCTTTTAACTCTTTCTTCACAAATTGCTGAGAAGCCCTTATGTGTTTTGAAAAGACTGCCAGTATTTTAGAGCATTTTTATTCATGTACGTGTTGCAATATGAAACTTTCTATTTCTAATCTTTACAGTTATTGACGTGCTGTGAAAAAATATTTGGCCCCTTTCTGATTTTTTTAAGTTTTTTGTGAAAAAGTAACTGGTTCTGCCAACCTTTGCAGCAAGAACTGAAATCAAGTAATTGCAATAATTGGCAATCACATCACTGTAGAGACATTTTTGACCATTCTTTTTTGCATAATTGTTTTAAATCAGACACATTATTTTGTGGAGTGGCCTTGAGCCAATCAGAGAGGAATTTGCTAGTGTGTTTCTGATCATTCTCCTCCACACAGAAATATTTTAAATGTGGTTAATTATTAACTAACTCGACAAACTCTCACAAAGAGCTGAGTCAATGCAGTTGAGCAGTAAAGTCTGTTGACTGGCATTAGAGGAAAAATGGCTAAAATGTGGATTGTTTAAATGCAGAATGGACAGCATGAAAGAAAAATAAGGATTTTTTTAATCTTATATTGGTGTGAATTGTATAAAGCTACTTTAGCAGAGTCAAAACAAGAGCAAAATAAGTGAATGGAAAAAAAATCACAATACACTTATACATAAATCAATTATAGGTAGGAAACTGATCTCTTAAAAAGTTAGAAAAGTCTTTGCAAAATATACTGTGTAGATGCATGAGCATATGCAAGAGCTTAAAGACCCCGCTCTCGCTTCCTCTGTGGTTTCCGTTAGTAAACCATGGCGCTGTTTCCTCATATACAAAGCAAAAACAAAAAAAATCAACAGCAGTAACACAAGTAACACAAGCTCTGTCTATACACTAATCAAACAATTCAAAAACGGCAAAATGTATGTTAAAAGGATAAATGAATAAACTCACAGCACATTTTTGAGTAACATATTTCAGAAAACCTACACAAGTAATGTAACACACAAATTTTCCAGCAAATTGATGCAAACCGCAAATTCAAGACAGGACCAGAAACCAGTTACCACCAGGCAATAAGACTCATTTGAATAGCTTGGTAGGTGAGAGTGTGCACATTGTATTCCTCCATATGCAAGGGGGATTCAAACGCACAGCAGACAGCATAACTTTTATTCATCATAGTTTAGCTTCCTGTCTCGCCAAATAGGTCACACGTTAAGGGGAACAAAAACTAGATTTGTTTCTTCTTATAGCTGTGCATCTGTATGCCACACACTTCTGCAATGATACTCATCATTGGTGCCATCTGTGGTCAAATGTGCTTCAGTTTTAATCTTATCAACATCTTAAGATCATGTTTATCTGAGTTACTAAAAAAAGTTTTTATTCCACAACTTGTGCTTTCATCATTACAAACATTTACCCTTTAAAATTTAAATAATTTACATTAATAATATCTCATAGTAATCCTTTTATGTTTATTTGCATATGATATAGTTCTTCTATTTTACCCTTATAGCTGATCAACTTCCTCTTTTAACTTGAAGGCTTTAAAAGGAGAAGTTCTCTTATGCTTTATATTCTATAATTAACAACTGAAACACTTACACACCATTAGGTAATATCTTTTGTATCTATTCTATTTGTTGAGCTGACTGCAGTGGAAAACTCAAATGCATAAATAGACACAATGTCAGTTTTACACTATGTAGACAATGATTGTTAAAATATACAACCGCATTTCCTCTGTTGTTTGCTTTAAAGCTACATTGCCCTTGGTCCTTATATGAGCATTCACCTGAGGGAAGGAAACCAGTTTGATTTAGGTTTACTACACTGCATTTGAAATCTGACTGGTTTAAAAATAAACAGACAAAACGAAAAGCAGAACTGAAGTTGTCCCTCTTCTGTTGTTTCCACAGCATCAAATTATAAAGGTGACCCAGTCCCAGTCCCACGTTACTCAAAGTATTTCCTTCAATGCCCAGTGTCATCCCGTCATGCTCAGTACAGTTGGCAGCACCATGAAAACTCTACAGCCTGTAGCTCGGGGAAAGAGCAGTGCCTTTATCTGATTGACAACATGGACAGTGAGTGCAAGGGAACTTACAAATGTATATCACAGGAGATGGGTTACAGTAAAGTCCTGGTACAGTACGAACTACAGGTGGAGAATGACGCGAAGACCCAACAGTACAAACAACTGTGGCCGAATAAGGCAGAGGGCCGAAAGACAAGCCTAGTGATCTGGGTTTGTCTAATGATGGCTCTGATTAAGAGTTTGTCCTTTTAGTTCCTCAGTGATGTAAGTTAGAGGCTGAATCTGTGATATTCTAAAATCTTAAATTTGTTACAATTACTGTTTTTTCAGTGACAGTTATTGTTTCTTTCCTTCCATTAATTAACTGCACTTCCAACATCTGTGTAAACATCTGTAACAGCTGTGGCTCATACGGGTAATGCAAGCCATTCGAGTTATTTTGTTTGGTTTTTCCAGTGCAATATCAACTCTCTGCAATATATGTCATTTTTTTTTAAACAAATAATGACCTTATGAATTGTATGAAAATGTAAACGTTCTTTTAACTCTTTCTTCACAAATTGCTGAGAAGCCCTTATGTGTTTTGAAAAGACTGCCAGTATTTTAGAGCATTTTTATTCATGTACGTGTTGCAATATGAAACTTTCTATTTCTAATCTTTACAGTTATTGACGTGCTGTGAAAAAATATTTGGCCCCTTTCTGATTTTTTTAAGTTTTTTGTGAAAAAGTAACTGGTTCTGCCAACCTTTGCAGCAAGAACTGAAATCAAGTAATTGCAATAATTGGCAATCACATCACTGTAGAGACATTTTTGACCATTCTTTTTTGCATAATTGTTTTAAATCAGACACATTATTTTGTGGAGTGGCCTTGAGCCAATCAGAGAGGAATTTGCTAGTGTGTTTCTGATCATTCTCCTACTGCATAACCCAAGTGCACCTGAGCTTCTGGTTACAAATTTATGGCCTTACATTCTCCTCCAGGATCCTCTGGTAGAGATCAGAATTCATGGTTCTGTTAGTCATCCAGGTCCCCAGACAATCACACTTCCCACCACTATGTTGTTTCTCAGCTGTGTCTTTAGATTGTGGCCTGATGGGTTTCTTTTTGAGATCTGTTAGCTGCTTCTCTTTGTCAGACAGGCTCTATTTAAGTGAACCTTTATCTAAAGTTTGTTTGATGATCTGAAACATTTAAGTGTGACAAATATGGAAGTGAATACTTTTTCACAGCACTGAATGTTACATTGGTTTCCTGTAATGTGAAATTTTATCTGAATGTATGTTTCGCACTTTAAAAGATCCTGTCATGTCTGCTACCTCAAGCGTTAGAGTTCACAAGACTGAGACCCTGTGTCAGTTTTAACATTCACACATCTTTTGTTAATAGCAGCTATTGTTGAAGGCTGTTTCTGCATCAACACATTTTTTTGTCCCTCAGGTTTCAAATTGCAAATAAGTTGCTGCACTGCCAAATACTTGAGCTGACAGTACAAAGTACAAATGCCAAATTAATTTTATTAGATCTTTTGTTCTGTGACGCCTAGCAAAATACAGGAGAGAATACAGTGTGTTATTAAATTCATGCTGTGCTGCAAAATTACCAAAATACTCACTTTCTGATTTCTAATTTGGCCCAACACAGCAAGCTTTTCCACATTTAGTAATCGCAGGCCATAAATTATTTGTAGTTAATTATATATTGAGGGCGACCGTGGCTCAGGGGGTTGGGAATCGCATCTGTAACCGGAAGGTCGCCGGTTCGATCCCTGGGCTCTCTGTCCTGGTCATTGTGTCCTTGGGCAAGACACTTTACCCTACTTGCCTACTGGTGTTGGCCAGAGGGGCCGATGGCGCGATATGGCAGCCTCGCTTCTGTCAGTCTGCCCCAGGGCAGCTGTGGCTACAACTGTAGCTTGCCTCCACCAGTGTGTGAATGTGAGAGTGAATGAATAGTGGTATTGTAAAGCGCTTTGGGTGCCTTGAAAAGCGCTATATAAATCCAATCCATTATTATTTCATTTGTTTGCTTTTATTTTTTTTGTATTTAT